TACTTTCTCCAGACAGCTAAATTTGTTTTGAGGATCTGCTACATTTTACTCAATAAGAAGATGCAGCGCTAAAGATCTGTCTTCTTGGATTTACCTGCTGTTTTCTTAATTATTCAGCAGATGTTGGCAACAGACCTAACTTCACAGAGCTTGCTCACAGATTTGGTTAATTAATATCTTTACTTAGTGACCCAATTTAACCTTTTGTACATGTTGGTGTCCTTTTTCCATTCTTCCTCTTATTACAAAAAATGCTAAGGCTGTTGGAACGCCATTAGTTAAATGTATGAAGGACATGCTCAGTGTAAGAGATCACAAACACGGTATCCTGATTAAGTGACAGGATAGCTTGGGAGAAACGATGTATGATCACAGTCGGCAGCAATCACTGGCCTCTCTCCATCTTCCTCTTTCATACTGCCAAACTCTGTGTCAGCACAACCCATAAGATATTGCAACAGACTTTTCCCCTCAGGTGCAACATTGTCATAGTTCATTAATCTTCTCAAACTTCTCCTGCTGCCATCAGCCCCCGTACATACTACTAATCCCCTTATTAATGTGGCAAATGAACCTGCACAAGAAGGACGACTCCCTCAAGGCTCCATAATTACAATGGTCTGTACAAACTCCTGTTTGCATAGAATGTCCATTCATTACATTCATTACATTACTGACAACTCCAGGAATCTTCTCGCTGAGGATTCCCCCCTTTTTTTTCCACAAGTCTTCTAATATCCTGCGCTTTAAACTGAATACTCCAGTTACTGTGATATTTAAAACCCTGCTTGTTGTTTATGAGATAATGTACCATACGCCTATTTTCGCTGTAGTGCTCAACACAGAGAAGGAAATGATCCATGAGTCAGATGTAGACAGAAATACTGAATCAAATTTTAAATACCTCCAGTATTATTTGGAATAATTAACCCATATTCATATGTTGCCATTTGTTCTATATGTGCGGAAACTAAACTGAGACTGGTCAGATAGAAAGCTGTTACATGTCCCCCAGCCTGAGGCAGATTTGGGGTGAAGAAAAGCACATCACAGCAATAGGAGATGGGTTAATTGTCAATGCACGCTTCCTTTCCGTGTTTGCATGTGCATGAAAAAAACCCAACAACAACCTAGAAGCCTACATACAGCAATTAAGACGTGTTACAGATTAGGTGTTCAGACCACAAGGTTGCACAACTGAAAAACGTCATACAGGGCCCATAACTGTGGATTCTCACATACGTAATGTTGCTTCCGCAAAGTGACGGAAGAGAGAACACATCTTGTGTGAACTTGTCAATATGTGGTAGCAAACGTAATAATTAACATTCCTTTATTCGCATTTACTACAAGATTTGTTCAAGTTTAATTCTGAAGACTAGATATATGGAAAATGTAGATTGCAATCAGTCAGCAATGATGTTGCATTCGCTCTCTCTGAGACTACTTTCAAACCCTGCTCCCCTCAGCAAAACCATGTTAACGTATTCTTAACACGAGCCTTGGGATCTGATGCACAGTACATAGTTAATGCATAGCCACTGGGCTCATGTTGTGGTAGTGAGCCACATCTATGTCTATGACTACTGACAGGATGAGAATAAGAATGATGATGATTATTATCCTCCGTTTCTTAGATGCTTGTGTTGCCTAGTGAAACTAGGACAGTGTTTTCATGCTTTTTTCCCTCTGTGTTGTTTACACTAATGTAGGTCCCTAGAGGGTAAAAAAATAAGTGAGAAAAATGAAAGGAAAGGCAAAGATTCCCCTATTGCTATAAGCTATAAGGATCTGTATAAAAGTGATTGCACTAGGCATTAGTGCGTAATAACGCTACTGCAGATAAGCTATTTCTTTTACTTATACACTCTATATCACCTAAAAAGAAGACAGCACTGACGTCTTCGTGCTTTGCTGTTGTTCGCAGTGTCTTATTCTCTGTCTAATCGTTTGTCAATTTCCTTTCAGTTTCCTTATTTTTTTGACTGGTGCTGATGTTGCATAGAAGTGACTCTTGAAAACTGGAAGAAAATGGCTTTTCAATTCCTTGAGAGAAGGTCAATCTTAAAAGCGATCCACCCACAGCTTCGCTTGTGTCTTCCTCTTGAACTTCCTATTTTACTTAACGCTTGTTTCGTGTTAACTTCAGGCACCAGTTGTTTATTGGTGTTGGTTTGTTAGTCATAGGGCAGCAAACTAAGTGCTAAATTTGATCTTCCTACTGTATACCTTTTTGGATCCTTTAACTATGGCAGCAGTTTAACACCTTTAGCTTTAATTTCAATATATTACATCAAATCACATTTTCCAACCAAAAACTAACCAGTAATAACTTTAAATGAAATTGGCTCATTTTTGTTATCTGTATATATAAGAAATCTTTTAATAATGTAGCTCTTATCTTCTTCTAAAGCGCTTCTACTCTGCAGAGAATGATATGATAATCCGGTGATATTACCTTTTGGATATACTGTCTGTTTAAAGATTCAGTCAAAGGTAATTGGTATTTTCTTGATCTTTTTTTTTTTAAACTACAGCACAAATCCAAAAGGCATAGAATTTAGTGGATGGGCATCTCCGCATGAATGATCATGAAATGGAGATGACATGTGCATGTCAATACAAATGGCTGCATTGTACAAAACAATCAAAACAATGGATGGAACAGTGGCATTGATAACATACCCTGGTTTATCCAGAAAGACATGTCAGTGCAGTCGGGGCAGTCTAATCATTTAACCACAATCAATAACTGCCAATCTGAGCTGGAGTCTTTGTCTGTGAGATGTTTTTTGGAGTAATTATGACTAAGAACCAACCGCATGCTGTAAGGGCCTTCTTTACAAATTTGAAAGATTGATATCAGCCAATAATGGAAAGACGGATAATCACTATTTAATGGAGATAAAGTGCTTTGTTGTATGGAGTCGCAATGTAACCATGCATACTGGTAAGAAAAGGAACTCATACTTCTTTTCTGTGCATATCTGTATGATAATGTTGTTTTAATATGTAAGCAAATGCATCTTTAGAGTTTTTAAAGATATGATTCTCTTATTCCCTTTCATAAAAATAAAAGACAATGGACTTATTTCAACTAATTTATATCAGTAAGTAATAGCAGAACAGTAGTAGAATTAGACTGGGGCACAACTTACACAAGTTCAGAGAAAAACACGAAACTGTACAGAACATTTTAGACATAAGTCTGTGCCCAAAAGCGTCTGTAACAGTGCATCATTTATAATATCGGTGGCACAATATAGAATACACTGGCTCTGTTTGTGTGCTTCTTTGAATCATTTGTCAGAATTATTGATCCCAATAAATCTTGTGTGGAATTGTAGGATGACTGAGCAAATCAATGAAGTTGTGCTTACAGTATAGTGTCATATCTCATGTGTCCTCCTCTAGGGTTGAATAGTGGCCCCCACCTCACCCCACCCGCTGCCACCGCCAGCATCACCCATTTCATTGTTTATTTCGCCTTCGTTGGTCAGTCTGGCTCGTCTCGACACATGCACCTGTAACCCCCCCCCCCCACACACACACACACACACACACACACAACACACACTAACGGCGCCTGGCAAATGATGGCACACTGAATGCCTCTTTTGACTGCTACCTCTCACACAGAAACACATTAAATGCAACCCCAGATGCAGTGACCCGGAGGTATGCATCGACAGGAGTCGCACAGTGTCACTCCTGTAATTCCACTCGCTCGTCCGGATAGATCTTATCACTCACATCTCTAACTGCCATTATCAATCTTTCCTGTGCAGCCTCTGCATCATTAGGCGAGAGTATTTCACTAAGAACACTAACATAGGTTTCACTCCTTTCTTCTCCTCCCTTGCATTTATAAGTCCACTGCAGGTTGGCGTAGTGCCAAGCTCTGCCATGCAGCGCAACACTGCCACCTAAAGGTTCAGTACCACCGTCAAGCCTGACCCATCGACAACAGCCTCTGTCTCTGCCTTCCCTTCTCCTTCTGCGCTCTTTCTTCACTCTTTTCTGCAGTTCCCAATATTTGTCCACGTGTGTTCCATTAGATTAAAACTGTGTGTTGTGTAGTGGTGCTTTATTAGCAGAAAAATTAATAGGGCTTTGATAAAAAGCAGCATGGATTACGTTGAAATTTGAGGCTCATTATTGGCTAATCCTTTTTGAATTGGATGTGTATCAAGTTCCAGACAAGCTTCACTCAGTTCGCTAGTGTGCTTTGAGAGGAGGCATTTAATTCAAGCTCAGATGATGTGGCAAAGCCTACAGTGACATTCACAATACCATTGCAGCAGTCTAATTATTGAATGTTGTTATTGCTGCAGGTGTTGAAAAGGTTACAAAGTCTTTCATGATATTACAATGCACACCAAAAAAAAAATAATAATAAAGAAACAAACAAACAAAAAAACATGAATACACTCAAGAGTTTTATGAAGAGAGAGAGAGAGAGAGAGAGAGAGAAAGAGAGAGGTGAAAAGTCAACTACTTTTTGGAGAATGTGTGCAGCATTTGTCTATGATGAAAAGCAGCAATCTGAGTAGATAGGCAAGAAAAAAATGTTTCTTTTACAAAGATCGTTGGGTTACAGTTAATGTTATGTTGGTACATGTTTGCCAGTGATCTAACCTGGGTACTGAAGAGACAAAATAAGGCAAAGCAGTCACTCGTCCACTTGCATTTTGGTAAATATGAATTAAATATATATTAAATACAAAACATGGGTTTGCAAGTGTTACCCCCAAATTATGCATTGTGTGATTGCTGAGTCCATAATCAACTCCATTAATCAGCTGTTGTTCAAGTTACTTTTTCTCTCTTTTCTTTTTATGTTTAGGTTGAAAAACCTGCTGAAGCAGTGTGTCTCCTGAACAGTTTTCTGTTGCTTCACAGTACCTTAGAGTCAGTCCCTAATCTAGACTGGCACTTTAGCACTGTGGAACAGGGCAGTTATACGCAGTACTTATAGACCAGTAAAAGTGCTCTTTTACCTGCTGTCTGGTGTGCATGGGCCCCTTCGTCTTGAACCCTCCTTGGGAGCTGCACTCTGAGGCACTGAAGTGGTCGGAGCTCGTGGAGGATCTCTTGGAAAGGGTGTCACAGCCCCCCACAAATGTGTTATCCAATGGGAGCTCTTGTATCACGTGATGCTTCTTCACTGAGACCGGTGTGTCAGCCTTGAGATGAAAGGCCGACTGCGGCGAGGCGGACTTGTAGTGCCGGGCCAGGTCTGGGCTGCTAGGTTTGAAGGTTGTGGTCGGCGTGGCATTCCAATCGAAGCGTCCAATCCCTTGCTCTTCCAGCTCGGTGGGCAGACTGATGGTTCCGTTGATTGGCTCATGGGCAGGATCGTCAGGTTTGTTCCCCTCTATGGTGACAAAGTTGAGCAAGGAGTTTTTGGGGGACTTCCTTTTCTTGCGCTTTTTCTTCTTGTTCTGTTTGTTTTCTGTGTTTGGTGACATCCACTCTGCCCCCTGCTTTTTTCTCTGTGCGGCTTTGAATCTAGAAGCATGGCGGCAGCGCAGCAACACAGTCACAAAGATGACAATAATCACCACCAAGGCGCCGGTAACAAAGGCTATCATTATGGTTAAATAGTCACCACTCTGATAGGTTTCACTGCTTTCACCAATGTTTCGGTCAATTGGGGTCTCCATGGTGCGTCGAATGAGATCATTGATGAGTGTTGAGTTGCCCACAGTGTCATTAACATACAAAAACACCAGCACAAGAGTATGGAGAGATTTGGGATAACCCAGGTCACTGATATTGACCACTAATCTGTGCAAGCCTATGTCGGTTAGTGCTGGCTTTTCCTCCAAAGTAATATTCCCTGTGACTGGGTCAATTCGAAACAGACCTTTGTTATTCCCACTCACAATTGTGTATTTGAGTTCCGCATTCATCCCTGTATCACCGTCTACAGCAAACACCTCTGCTACCACAGATCCTGGGATAGAGGAGAGAGGCACGAGCTTGAAAGACGTGTTGGAGGGTGGGTAGATAACGATGGGTGTGTTGTCGTTCACATCAATGACATTGATGGTCACCTTGGCAGCTGAGGAGCAAGGAGGCCTGCCACTGTCCACAGCCCTTACATCAAAAGTGTAGGAACTCTGCTGCTCTCTGTCGAAGGATACATTAGACTTTATCACCCCAGAGTAAGGATCTAGTATAAAGTTCTCATTGTCATTCAGAATAGAAAGAGAAACAGCAGCATTTTCTCCGGCGTCTGAATCTGTCACAGTTATCACCCCCACAGTACTGTACTTAGGAAGATTCTCTGACACAAAGAACTGGAAGTGGTTATGTGTGAACTTGGGGTTGTTATCATTTTCATCCAGCACGGTTACAATAACGGCTGCCTGCGTTTGTAGAGGGGGCGTCCCGTTATCTCTTGCTGTTACAGTGAAGAGGAACCTATCCTGATCCTCCCGGTCAAAAACCCTGGATGCAGTCAGAACACCTGTTTTACGGTCAAGATCAAAAAATGATGCATTTGGTCCCAGCTGGTAAACAATTTCTGCATTTTTCCCACTGTCCTCATCTGTGGCGCTAAGAGTCGTGAGGAACAAGTCACGTTTGTTGTTTTCCATAACAGCCAGCTCAATAACTGGCTGAGTAAAAATAGGCGGGTTGTCATTCTCATCCTCCAGCCTCACTCTCACCAAGGCAGTCTGATTCAAGCTCGGCTTTCCAGAGTCAGACGCTACAATTTTAAAGTTATATTCCTTTGTCCCTTCGTAGTCAAGCAGTGCGGACGTCTCTAACAGATACTGGTTGTCATACACAGCTTTTAGATGGAAGGGCACATCCTTCTCTATGAAACAAATGACCTTGCCGTTAATGTCAGTGTCTTTGTCCGACACTGTGATGAGTGCTATCTTTGTATTGATGGGATCCTTCTCTGAGAGGAAAACAGTGCCATTAATGGGACTGATTATGTATCTCAGGTCTATATTAGGTGGATTGTCATTAACATCAGTCACATTTATGGTAACAGTAGCTCTGGCTGGACTTGAGCTGCCATCACTAGCTAAAACAGAGAGCTTATGGATAGCAGTTTCTTCCCTGTCCAAAGGTCTCTGCACTGTAATTAGGCCAGATGTTGCATTCAGTGCAAACAGTCTTTTTGTAGCAGGAGACACCTGAGTCCCAAATACATAATGTATCTCTGCATTTGCCCCTATGTCTGCATCTGTAGCTTGGAGCTGCACTACAGATGTGCCAATAATGGAGTTCTCCGGTATATGAACCTCTATCTGACTCTCTTTAAACACCGGTTTGTTGTCATTGACATCTGTCACAGTAACCTGGAGAATGGCAGTGCTGGATTTCTGTGGACTGCCACCATCCTCTACTTTAATCTTCATCACATACGTGTCTTTCTGCTCTCTGTCCAGATTCTGCTGCACAATAAGCTGGGGCCACTTTTCCCCCTCAGGCGTTTCTACTATGTCTAAGCCGAAGGCACTTTGCCCATTGATCAGCTCGTATTTGTGGACACTGTTGGGGCCAGTGTCTGGGTCAGTGGCAGAAGGAATAGCAAAGCGGCTGTTAATGAGCGTGTTCTCTGGGATAGAGATGTTGATCACAGGGGACGGGAACATGGGGGCATTATCGTTTGTGTCTTTAACGATTATTTTGATCTTAATCAGCCTGAAATAATCATTAGGCAGGATGACCACTTCAATTTCAAAGGAGCACTCGCTGTCCTCAAATGAGGGACCGGGGCATAACTTCTCTCTGTCAATTCGGTTTGATGTTGTGAATATTTCTCCAGTGCTGCTCAGAACACGTACCAGTGGGTTATCTCCTGCTTTGGAGACGAGCCGGTACACAAGATTAGCACTCGTTCCGGTGGCAGCATTTGTATGGGAAATGTTTAGGTCCTTTGGTATGTTCCCAATGAGGACATTTTCTTGCAACTCCTCCCTGATGGGGTAGATTAGCTCTTGGGCTATTGAAGGATCTAGCCATATGCAGGCAAGCAGTGCACCCAACAGGTAATAGTCTTTTAGATCCATAACAGTGTTAATATGCTTCCAGCCTTCAAAACTCAAAGGTTTCTTTCTATGCAGTGTTGTTACAGACAGTGACTCCTGGCAGGAATCTTCCACGAATAAACCTATGAATACAGGACAGAGATTCCCTTCAGTGAAGTAACTTTATTATGCACAGTAAATAAATTTAATTAACAATCATCCAATCCCTCTCCTCACAGTCAGCTGATTCATGCACTATATTTTTTTCCCCTCTTCTTTAGGATTTACCCTTAAATCTGAACATAGCCACAAATCATGACTTCATTCAAACAGTAAAATGAAAATCCCAAAATAAACTGCATTAACCTTTTAAGCAGCCATTAATGTCTGTTACTCTCTTTCTACATCCTCTACGTTTTACGGTCACTATGAATTTTCAGTGCCTCGAACACCCCCACGGCAACAAAACTTCACAACACATTACACAGTCTTATTAATTTTTCCACTTAAACTGTCAAAATTAAAGAGCTTAGGCTGTGAGTGGGCTGCTTAACGAGTGAATAAGCATAAATGAAGCCTACAAAGTAAGCTCAGTGAGATTTTGAATTCTTAGTGGGCAAAAGAGACCCATGCTTGTATTACATACCCAAATCGGTTGCAGCACAGAAGAAAAACTGGAGTGTGTCAGCTCATAGTCTTCTCATCCACAGTAGTACAGTAGTTCATTCAGGTAAAGATATCCTCCTCTGTCGATCTGCTTTTGGCTCCAGGTAAATAATAATAACAACAATCACCCAGCAGCACTGGGTTAATCAGACACGAGTACAGGTTTTAAATAAAAGCAGCCGGTTGCAGAAACTGGGGTAAATTAGAAGCTGCATATGTCGCAGTTCCTTTTCCCCCCATTTAACTTCAGGAATTGACTGGATCTAATTGTGCGACCTGCGGTGATTGCGGTGATCAGCGTCGCTCTCCAGCAGACACAGCAAGGTGGTCAGTGGTTTGCGGTGTCTTCAATTAAACGGGTCCCAAAATCAATGCTCATCTCCTGTGCATGTCCAGAGAGAACCGGCGTCTTTCCCCCTTTCTTTCTTTCCTTTTCTCCCCGGCTACCTGTGAAGGTTAAGGCGCAGACGAGGTGAACCCAAAAAGAGACACGCGTGTCCCATTATGTTTCAAGTTCACGGAGCTCCATCAATAATCAGACTCAAGGTTAAAAAGAAAGAAAAAAAAAGATCACGAGGACATTTATGAAAAAGACAAAAAAAAAAAGAAAAGCCAACAACAAAAAAGGTGTAAAAGCTCAGAGTCGATCCCACTTAGAAACACCAGCCTTACGGCTGCTCAGTGTGACACGGATGCGCAGCGTGTGTGTGGCGTTTATCCTTGCACTCTCACTCCCAGAGCAGAATATCTTGCACTAACTCTGTGTAAACCCATAGGAGGGGTTGGCGATGCACACCACACCGACTAACCACCCCGCACCCCCACCCGGCCGACCCTCGTCATTGGACACCGCCCCTCGCTTTCAATGGCGTTGGCAACCCGAGCGAGGACGGGATTGGCCCGATGTCACGTCACTTAAAGCGAACCGGAGGGCTGTCCGCGGTGAGATTCTCCGCGAAGATGCTGCAGGCTGAAGAGACGCTTAACCAAAAACCCCGTGGCTGGGCTGGAGGAGGAGGATGACGACGATGATGATGATGAAGCTGCTGCTGATGATAGTGTAAAAAAAGACACTGAGAGAAAAGAATAAAGAGATAGTGGATGTCCTCTAGCTTTTATAGTGTGTGTGTGATTATATAAAAGCAGATAACACTCATTGGCTCTAAAGGGACGCATCAAAAGCATACGCCAACCTGTTAGGCTGTTGTCAGGTAGGCTACAATAGCCTAATTGGGGTGGACATAAAAGCCACTAGACTGAAGCACATTAGAAAGATGCGCTATGGCGGTTTCCCGTGCATATTGACTTGCCAAGAATAAACACTGGCATATACAATACAAGCCTTGTGTGAGAGTCAGTTATAATTGCACTCTAAACAGAGAATCCGTTGTCTAAGCATGTTTGCGCCGGGTGCATATTCACGCTTCGTCCACCGCACTTAGCACCCTGCAGCCAGTCGTCAGCATTTGTTTATGAGAAATAACCTTGACAGTTATCCTAGTCATCAAGGCTACAAAGCCGCGTGTGGCCGGAGTTCTTGGTTTAACGGGTGAATTGCACTTCTTATTTTAAGTTTACTGCCTCTTGCCGTGGTGCTCCGAGGAGTCTGTGGCGTGACTTTGGAATAAACGCAATGACCTTACGTGACAAGTTTCAAAGCAACAAGAGGCTGAACTGTTCCGAGTCGCCCCGAATGTTATAAGGTAAGTAGAAAATAGCAATTTCATAAAATGCAAATCAGACTGAGCCATACAGATCCAGACATCATTTATTACCTGCTTCCATCCAATCATTACTTAATTTCAATGCAGGAGATAACCCTCAATTTAAGCCTGGGCTCAGTGCTGTTGCTGTTGCTGAGAAATGGCAAGCTGTTGAGCTCAGTGCCTGTCGTGGTGAACACTGCCATCTTGAGGTGGACTTTCACAAACGCCTCAGCCATGATTTGAGCTTCAAGTCTTAAAACATGATCAGCCACGCAACCCTGGGTCAACCTAGCGTGACAACTAAGACAACATAGTGCATCATCGGCAGCTCAGAGGAAGAAGAAACAATGCGTGAATGGGAAATCAAGCAAAATGAGAATATGCCCCAGTTTAGGCAAGTGGTGATGAAAGTGATGCAAAGGACATTAGACCGGCACAGTTGAGGTGAGAACTAGGCTGCCAATGTCTCTTGAGAGGCTGGCTTATTGCCTGGTCAGCAGTCCATTAGCACAACCAACCTGGTGGCCTGACCTTTCTGCCTCTGGATGCAGTCGTCACTGTCCTTAGCTGGAAGAGAGCAGCTAAAGGAGTGATCTGTCACTTCAGCTTAAAGCTTGACACCCTGATGTAGAAAGAAAAGTGACAACATAACTGTCTGTAGTGGTGAAACACTTTCTTGCTCTGCTGGCCAACTGCAGTCATTAGGAACTCATCACCTGCCTTTAGTTGCTCTCTGGGAACCTGTGTGGTATGTGTGTCCTGATTTTTTTCTTCTTTATCTGGAAAATGAGAAATATGCTTCGATTTGGTAGAAATTTCCACCTTTGTCAAGTCTCTAAGGTATCTGTGTGGGTGATGCAAGTGAATGAGCAGTAATTAGGAGTATTGGACAAAAAGTAAACCAGAAAGCGAAAAATACCCATATTGTGAAGCAACTGTTAAAACATTGGTATTGATTACCAACCCTATCAGAACTCCACACAAGAAATGTGGACATTTTGTTCCATGGCTTAGTAAAACGTTTTTATCCTCACAGATGTGTTAAATGTCACACGATGGTGATATAAACACTAGACAAGGACAAAGTTAGTAGCTGTATGGCTGATAATTCCAATTCTACCAGAGCTCTAGAGTCTCTTATCATCTTATTAAGTCTGTTTTAAATCAGCTAAAGCTTATGTTTCTGCCAGTCAAGTCACTGACAAGTGATGAATAATGTAGTTTGTTAATATGTAATGTAGGTCTTACCTCCCACAAACTCACGTCGAAGAGAGAGCCTAAGGGAAGTGTCCAAACCTTAGGCCCTATGATTCCCCATATACCAGGTGAAGTCGGTCAGATTATTCACCTTATTGACTTGTTCTTACTCTTGAATTGGCTTCATGAATAATACAAGGAACAAGTATGTGTATTTTTCGTGTGTGTCAAAACACAAGATCAAACAAGTAATATCTATCTATCTATTTAAACTTAAAGGAGGTCTGAGTATAGCTGGAGGTGGATGGTAATAAACACAACTTCTGTGTTGATAGAAGTAAGGAGCAGCAAACATGGCTGAGGGCTGTAATCAGCAGGGTTAAGCAGCAGTTTTTCTGTAATTACATCTTAATTATTTAATATGAAACTTCTTCCTTTTATTTAAAGAAATGCGGAGGAGAAACAATTTGGGAAATTTAAACTTTAAAAGCACTATTGGGGTAAACATAATTTGGGTAATTTTCTGTTATGGCCCTCACTAGTACAAGTGAGAAAATCTATGCTGGTTGGTGAGAAGCAGTATTAATAAGAGGCCAGCTCAGAGTGTGAAAGCTCTTTGACAGTCAGTGATGTCTTTTCCAGCACACTGTGAACAGGGTACACAGTGTAAGCGTCTATATTATTTGGAAAAACATGCTTTCCCCATACTCTAATGAATGCTGAAAATTTTCACTACTTTCCATCGCAGTTCACGTAATCAGCTGACTCAGGCAAAACATTAGTGAGGCTATTATCACACAAGCTGAATCCTTCTGTTTGAGGCGCTCTACCACCTGCCAGCTAAACAAATGTGCGCAGAAACTGACTTGTGCAATAATCAAGTCTTTAGAGGGTATTTACTTAGTGCTGGAACTGCTTTGTGTTACTCAAGTCAAAATGTTGGGCTGCATTTACAAAGATGAGGTCGTCTACCTATGTTTTGTATAAATAGAAACCAATAATTTTCTATTTTATCTCAGCTCGCTCTTTCTCTTGTTCCACTGAGAAGACTGGTTTCATTTGTACTTTGTCAAAGAGCCACTGCAACCGCTGATGAAAATTTAGGCCTTTTTCCTTAAATGCCTTTTGCTAGTGCGACTTCTCTCCAGAGTGGTAATGACCCGGTGGATAATTGGCATCACACATGCTGTGGACCCTGAATACTAATCAGATCTTCTAATCAGGCATCTCCAACTTAAAAATCCAAATACATGGGAGTGAACTGAATAGGAAATGCATATGATTTTCTTTGGAACAGATTTCACTGTATTCAAATCTTTGAATTCCCCCAAGGAATTTGCCTTATATCACTTAACAAGGCTGTAACAAGGTGCTTTGATTTGTGTTGAGACAGAACTTTACACCTGTGAGTTTATGAGTTAAAATATAAATGCTTGCTCAAGGTAATTGTTTTGATTCACCATATGGCAACCCCAAAGATATCCCGTAGTTGCTACTGAGCCCTCCTAATTACTGCAAAACCATTTTCATGCACACAGCACATCCGTTACTGCCTTATGGTTGGCATTTTGGGAGGTATAATGCCATTCATGATAATCCCTTGAATATTGATTGACACATTGTTTGATCAAAAAAAAGATATTCTGGGTGGATTAGAGTTTCAAGATGTCAGAAGTTGCAAGATACGCCTTATAAGAAATGCCTCTTCTGTCTTCAAACCTTCCCTTGGACTGTAATTTGCTCTCTCCCTTTGCTTTCTGTCTCTCCCCATTTTTTTCTTCTCCCTGACACATTTGAATCACATATCACTTTCCAGACTGTGCACCGAAAAAGGTCAAACATTCCCTCCCATTCTCTTTTCTTACTGATGTGAAAGCCAGAAGGCTGCCTGTAGTAGCTGAAATAGATCCTGGTCAAACCAGGGAAAGAGAGTCGAGCAAGATCCCTCTCTGCTCAGTGCACAGGCTGATTTGACCTTGTGCAGTATGAATGAAGCAATACAAAGTTATAAGATACTTGACTGCGCTCAAATACCAGTACTTTTTTTTTCCAGATCACATCAAATTGATTTGGATATTTTTGACACGGGCAATCTTGCACTCAAAGGTCATCTTTATTCGTAGAAGCTTTAACTATATGTGTCAGGTGATCCTGAGTTACATTCTCAGATTTCTTTTTGTTTGTCCCGAGTAACTCGTTTACATATATAAATGCAGGACTCCACAAGCTGGCTTTGAAGTGTCAGTTTATTTCTACACGATTACTATTTTTATAGCCCCTGTGCAATTAAATACCGTTTCCTCAGAGGTTTGATATCTTTTATCAGGCTGCGAAATTTCTAGACTCCAGCCAACTGTGACATATTTAATGATTCCATACAGTACTCGAGTACATACTTGGAGAACTGCAGCTTTAAAAAATGTCTGGATCAACATGAGTGTAACCTACATTGAACTAATTTATATCTTGTAGTAATTATGACTCTGACAGTGAGGACAGCTCATGAAGAAGAGAGGGGATGGCAAGAAAATGCCCACATGTTGTACATACTGAGACTCTAGTGTGTCATTCTAAAGGTCAGACTTCTACATGGCAGTTTTTTATCATGCAGTAGCCAAGTGGCTTCACATTTACAAAAAGGGATCTGGCTAATTTATCATTTGCACAGTTATTCCAGTAATATACTGATTCCGTTCTGCATGAAAATGTGAGATACGAGGTAGTTAGGTGTGGTAGCGTTACTGGTTCCCCACTGTTTATTTCCCCCACACAGAAATGGATTAAATTAGTGTGATTGGGCTTTACTGTGAAGAAGGTTTAAGAATATTTTGCAGGTATTATTCACATTGTATTTGTGGACCAAATCCACTGAAGTGCTGAAATTTGAAAATTTGAATTAACAAAATTTGA